CTTTAACCATTATTGGCTTGTGAAACTATGTTAAAATGAATGCCAAAGATGAGTGTTTGAGAGAGAGACAATGCCTTATTGTATTGCCGTCATACACACAAAGCTCTATTTCCGCCTTATATCTCCTTACAACATTCACATAATTGGCCCTTTATCAATACTATCTATACACCTAACAACCACAACCTTTCAATACTCTAATGAAGGGATCCATTATGTTTTCACATAATGATGAGAGTATGAATCCCACATCGAGAAAAAAAGAATTTTGCATGTGCTTATAAGTAATTAGGTTACTCTTCATATTGTCAATTGATTTTATGGTGGAACCTTAACTTTCTTCATGGTATTAAAGCAGGTTATCCCATGTGTAAGACTAATGGCCACACAAGGTCCACATCACCGATTTGTGTTATCCACGTGTTAGGCATGAAAATTTGTTACACGTGAGCGAGTGTGGTGAGAGTATGAATCCCACATTGAGAAAAGAAGAAATATTGCATGTGCTTATAAGTAATTGGACTACTGCCATATTACTAGTTGGTTTTATAGTAGAACATCAACTTTCTTCACAGCATAAGTTAGAATTTTTATTTATTTATTTGGCATTTAGATTATATGTTATGAAAATGAAGATTAAAGTAAAATCTGTAAGCCAAACCATTCCATTATGTTGTTTCCAATGAACTTAATTTAACATAGGCAAATATATATCACACACGTATTAAAAATCAAACGAACGAGACAAAAGTAGTTACATTAATATGAGAAAAAACATGATCATATATATACAAGATGTCAGGATGGTCCAAGAACTGTGAGAAATATTTATTTTCGAAATTTTTTGGTCAGTATTCGAATGGTCATTGTCTGATTAGATGACATCTCGCTTTCCATATAAATAAGGAAGAACCGAAGGGTACACTTCAATTTTCCATGTTCATGCTACAAACAAAGAAAGAAATGTCATAAGGAATGGGCCTTTGATTGTTAACACTATTTTCCAAACTGAATCACGATGAACAAACTTCTTCAACTTGTTTTTTATTATATATTTTCTCACAGGTTCTATCAGTACAAGCTTTAATTTTCATTTAAAACCTCCATCTTCTTCTTCTCTGTTTCACTGTACATTGACTTGGATAGTTTTCACTTTCGGATAATGCTAAGGAGACTAAAATTTTCAAACAAAATTTACAAACCAAATGATATGGTTGTTGATGACTGAATTATTACTTAAGTGTTGGTTAATGTGCTTATTTTTATTAGTGACATATCATTTGGTTTGCAAATTTGATTCAAAATTTTGATCTCATTAACATTACCCAATATAAAACATGATGTAGAGTCTATTTAATAAATGAATAAAATTTTATAATAATAACATAAACTTTTGACAAAAAAAATAACATGCACATCCATGCAAAATTAAGCTAATGTCTTAATTTCTTGATTTAATAAGTTAATAAAACATTATGATAATATTAGTTTATTTAATATATTTTGGATCCCAAGTGTATAGTCTACGTTTTGAAGCCTTTAACTTGGATCTACAATATGCATCGCCTAATTAACACGTCAAGAAAATGTTTGGTATAAAAAGGTGATCCGTAGAGGGACCTCTGCCGGGAGCAAGCATCACCTTGTAATTAACACTAAAACCTACACCGAAATCCGATCAGTATATGCGACCTTAAACTTAATTAATTAATGTTTGATTAGCACAAATCTAGTTGCTTGATTTACAAGGCAAGTTTTATGCATCTGACAAAGTACTTTCTTCTTGAACACTACTAATGTACATATTGGCATTGTGGTGCTCGTAAAACAAAGTTAGTTTACTGTAGACGTCTACTACAAAAGAAAGTAACGATGCGTTTGCTTAACAGAAATAGGTATGAGAGGTAAAGAAACTATTTCGATTTCTAATTTTTCGACCTTTAGTAATACCTAAAAATCAAAATATCAATGGATCACTTTCTAAAATTCATAATTAAATACACTTAAAACTGTAAATTAAACAAACACGAGAGAATTTGATTCAATGCTCGTTCTTTATTCTTCTGTTTTTAAGTTCGCTATTTGTTTTTCTTTACATATTCTTAGTAAGTAAACATTGATAAACTTATGTTTTCTTAAGAAACATCACGTGACAATGTTTTTGTATCATGCAATAAAAATTTAAGTATGAGTTACTAGATATTTGTCCCATTTGTCAAGTTTGTCAAGGTATCAACCAAATTATGGTATTAAATTACCAGAAACTGTCCAAGCATAAAATGTAATAAAAGCATTAGGAAGCTAATTATACCCAAAGCCTACACCCAAAATGGATAAAGAAAGGGGTGCATTTTTGCTCACTGGCCTCAAGTGGTGGTAATAATTACTATCCTATTTATCACATTTGGATAAGTTTAAATTTTGAGATTTGTATTTATCCACTACATATATTTCGAAATTTAAACTAATCTAACGGTGATATATGGTGACCATTACTTAAGGGTGTTGATTAGGTGGGTTCCTTAATATGCACATAATTATATATTTTTTACTCACCAACTTCAAGTGATGGTGATGTTCATCACTCTATTTATCATCGTTAAATAAGTTTAAATTTCAAGATCTGTGTAGTGAATAAACACAAATCTCAAAATTTAAACTCATTCAATATCAATAAGCATTACCAAAGCTTAATGAGCTGGTAGACTGCCCTCCTAACTTAAGTCATAATCTTAATGGTCAATTGGTACCTTTAATTAATTCCTTAATTATTAGTTAATCAACAATGTTTTTCGTGTACCATGATTGGCGCCATTCATAATTTATTCTAGTCGTACTATACACCTCTAGTGAATTCATAATGTATTATAGTCGTGCCATTCATAATGTATTCTAGTCGTGCTGTACACCTCCAATGCCACCTTTCTCACTAAACCATATACTTTTCTTAGTTCAGCACAAAAATTACTTGACACCTCTAATTTTTGAAATGTCGTTCAAGGTGTGATAATTTAATGACAACATTTGACTTATATCTTGTTAAAATAGAGACCACTCTATACAATAGATTATGATTCTCTTTCCTTTGTTTTTTCCTATCATTCCCTCCCATCTTATTTGAACGGGCACGATTAAACCACATTAACATTTTGTTTTAATTTTTTTTATAGAGAGAGAAAGACAAAATAAAAAGTATGAGAGGAGGAGAAGGAAGAGAAATGGAAGGGAAATAATCCTACTGCCCGTACAATTTAGTTCAAAATCTCTACTAATTAATAAAACACTCATTGTCAACCAAAACTTTATGAAATTACTAGTTTAACCCTCTAATTAAAACAAAACATGAATAAGAAATATGGGGCAGAAATGTAATTTTACACAATCAAATTTTGCTGTTTTTTTTTCAAAGCTTCATCTACATGTAATCCTAACATATCTCTAAAAAAAAAAAAAAAAAAAATAGAAAAAACACGCTTCCTACTCCCACATTCTCTATCACTCTCTTCTCATCTCCTTCTATTTCAAAAAGTTTTTTAGTTGAGCATCACAGCCATGTAATACTAACAGATTTTATTTAAAATTTCTCTTCGTTCCTGTTTCTCTCTCATCAACTTTCCTGGACTTCTCTTTACAGCTCTCTCGCCAAAAGCCTCTTCAACCGCCCATCTCCTCCCACGTTCCCACTCCCACATTCTCTTCCTCTCTTCTTCTATTTCAAAAACAAAAATAAAAAAATCTCCTCCCATGTGCCCATATGCTAGTTTCTATTAAGAAATCTAGTCAACGATATGGTCATTAGTAGTTATTGATGCAAATTAATTGTCTTAATTAGATTAGTCCTAAATAGTAAACCAATCATAATTATCACCTGAAACCAATCCCAATTATCACCTGAAAATTACCAACTTAATTATGTTTTAATCTCTATATATAAATGAAAAGACAAAAAATGAGAATTTTAAGGTATACTAACAATTCTAAAAACCTTGTTGAGAATTTCAACCCGGTCGAAGGAAAAGAGTGTCCCGCACAATAAGAGATCTATCCTCAAATGAACAATAAAATAAGTTTACAATCCCTCCTCTAGAAGAATATCTTGAATCAAATATGGGGGCTCTTCAAACCACACCTCCTGCGCACTGGTAATCCCCATCCGAGCAAGCCGATGAGCTGCCGAGTTCTCTTCCCGTTGGACATGATTAACCACTGAATTCGGCCACGCCATGAGAAGGTATCGCAAGTCATTAATTATAGGACCGAAAATAGATGTATCTTCCCCTCACCCCTTCATGGCAGCCAACACCAACGCAGCGTCTCCTTCGAATTGAAACCTTCCCTCCAATGCACCTAGGGTGTGAGCCAGTAGTGCAGCTCTCCGAGCTGCAAAAAATTCAGCATGCACCGCAGTGTGAGCCATCTCAATTGGACCAGCAGCAGCGGCAAGGCAGTCCCCAAGCTGCAAAATCTCTATTAATTAATGAACCCTCTTTGTCAATCAAAAGATGGTGAAAAAACTAATTAGTCTTCTATCATAAAAAAAAATGATGGACAATAATGTAATTTCATAAGTCCAAATTTTATTGTTTTTTGTTGAAGTCTCACCTACAGGTGATGTTAAAATACCTCCAATATTAAAAAAAAAAAAAACCAAAAACAAAAACCTCTTATTCTTCCCACGTTCTCGCTGTCTCTCTCCCTTTCTCCTTTTCATTTTCTAAAAAAAATGTGTTCATACACACAAAGTGTATAGGCAAATTCTAGTATATAATAAAATAAGAGAAATACTATTTCTCTCTTTCGTATTTCCCTCTTCTTATTTACTTCTCATTCTATCACTCGAAAAGTGAATTTCACCAACAAAATAAGGTGAAAAATTATAATTTTAATAAATTAGTTAATTTATTAAAATAAAATACACATGTCAGATGAGTTTAAAAAAAAAAAAAAAAAAAAGACAATAAAAAAAGTAGTTTACATTTCTCATAAAATAAAAGAATCAATTTCCAGACGTGTAGGATTGTCTTGTAAAGACAACAAAAGGCCAACTAAGCCACAACAACAACCACCACCACCACCACCACCAACCGCTCGTGGAAAAACAAACTTCACTGGAGAGGGACGTACCTTCGGACATTTTTCCTATTCTTCAAGCAACAGCCTAAACGACATCGTCTTCTTCTTCTTCTTCATCGATCTTCAGCTAGGTTTTCATATTTATCCCCTATGTTCGATAGAGTAGTCAGTCTCTGAACTTCCTTCAACTAGGTACTTTCCTCTGCGTCGATCTACGCTTCGTATTTCCCAATTCTGCTACTTTTTTTTTGGTTGAATTTCGATTTGGGTTTTGCAGTTCGGAGCCGATTTGGGGATTTTGGAAATGGTGGACGCTGGGCCCGTTACGCCTGGACAGGTAGTTCAGTTTCAATGCCAAGACTGGTCGTTTCTTATGCGTAATTTTGATCTTCTGCTGATTTCGATTGAATTCCTAGATATTTAACATGCTTAGTTTATTTGTAGTTGTTCAGTTCTCATCAGGATCTGTGAATGTGTATGAATTACTGGTTTCTGATTTTTGTTCGACAATATGAAGTTGCTTTGTGTTTTTAGTTCTTGATCCGAAGAAAGTTGTGTTATTTCGTAATGGCATTGCCGTTTGTAGTGGTTGGTTAGATTACTGCATTTCGGTATTATAGCAGCTCATTGAAAAGGAGTCCTGTTTATGAATGCATCCTGATTTTCCGCCACCGCTGATCACCAGAGCTGTTAAACGTAGCAAATCTCGTATCTTGGTAACAAACATAATGCAGCATTACACAACAATGGCTCTGTTCAAACCATCCTTAATAATTTAGTTTCTACTCAAATAGATCAAGGATCTTGTTTTTCTTCTAGTAGTATGTTAACTAAGAGGCCTGTGTTTCTGTTGGTTCATGGGACACACAATAGTCCTACGTGCCTGGATGCGTTTGGGACTTTGGTGCAATTCTAGATGTTATGTAATCAAATTAGCTACACTTTTGAGGCTTTGTTAAACAGATTTGTCTCAAATGCTATGAAAGATCTTGTTGTGGTATCAATAATGTAAGGACTAAATGAAGAAGCAAATTTACTGAAGCTTTCTATATGATTCTCCAGGTGTCAGTTTTGCTTGGAATCATCCCAGTTTTTGTCACATGGATATATTCAGAGTACTTGGAGTATAAAAAATCTTCAACTCCTCCTAAAGTGTAAGTTCCATATCTTCGAACTGGTGATATGAAGTGATAAATATGATCAAATAGGGATGACTTCTATGAATTGATTTTTACCCAACTAGTTTACACAAAATAAGTAATCATATTTGGATTAATAAGTATATACAAGTACGTTGGATGACTGTTTATAGTGCTCTAGATATGTCTTTGATTACAAATGAGATACAAGGATTTTCAAAGATATGATGTTACCAGCCAATATTCTCTGATGCGGAACAACTAAGTTTTTTGTTTTGTTTTTTATCCTATTGTAGTCATTCAGATACTAATCTTGTTGAGTTGGGAGAGGAGACAATCAAGGAAGATGATCGAGCTGTTTTGCTGGAAGGAGGCATTTCAAGATCAGCATCTACAAAGTTTAATAGTTCATCCATCAAAATAAATTTAATCAGGTTACTCTATATAATATACAGTATCTTCATTGAATTTTCGTGTTGATTTTACTATTGAAAGTCTTTCTCACGTTCCACTTCTCATGAATTTCCAGGTTTGTGAATATGGATGACTCTTTTCTACTTGAAAACAGAGCAACTCTTAGAGTGATGTAAGTAATTACTAATTCGTACTATTTGTATCTTCTCAGAGCCAAATTTCTTATTTATGTTATACTTATATTACACTCAATGCCTAACAATTGTAGGTCTGAGCTTGGGGCAATTCTGTTCTATTTTTACACATGTGACCGCACAAATATACTGGGAGATTCTACGAAGGTACATTTGTCTGCTTCCTGAATGTATTTTAAATTACCACTAGTTACTTATACAGGAAAACTTGCACAGATGATATTATCATCGCATCAAAGGTCCTAATCTATCAGCTTATGTCCGTGTTGTCCTTTGTTCTCACTGATATTTCTGCCTAAGTGCCCTGAGTTCACCTATCTTGCTCATCATTTCGTATCCTGATATAAAGGATGCTATCTTTTATATGGCTTCTATTAAAGAAAAGTTAGGGATGGCAGTGTTACTATTGTCACACATTGATAAACACAAAGTTCCTTTCTTTTATATTCAGATCATGACACGCTGATATGTACTGATAACAACAATAAGCTGGTTTTACTGTTGTAATATTGATTATTTATGTGGTTCTTCCTTGAACAGAAATACAATCGGGATCTTTTCATCTTCCTGTACCTTATCCTTGTCATAGTTTCAGCAATGACATCTTTGAAAAAACATAGTGACAAATCAGCATTTTCTGGAAAATCCATACTTTACCTAAATCGGCATCAGACTGAGGAATGGAAAGGGTGGATGCAGGCAAGTACTCTTCTCTAAGTTTGTAAATTGTAGGGTAAAGATATTTCCTTTGGGAAAGAATTGTGTGCTCTTGGTATTTCCTCTCTCTTTTGTTTTAGGAGGGGAATTCTGAACTTACACTCTTGGTGACCTGCCACTGTTATTTTTACTGTTCGGGTGTTTGTATTGTGACAACCGTCCATGCTCATCTAACTCGAACAAGCATTTGTCATCCTTTGATATTTTTGTTAGTGGTTGAACTTAAATTTGGATACCATTCTAGATTGAATCTGTAGATTTGATTGGCTTTTATTCATTTAGATTTTTATCAGAGGTTAGTTGCAAAACCCAACAATGCTACTCTTTAGTTTTCTTCCAGTTGAGCATCAAACTTTGTTATATATAGAGCTCAGTTCGCTCACTATGCTGTTTATAATAATTAATTTATGAATGTACTATGAGTATAATTCATCTCTTTTGCTTCTTGGCAGGTCCTATTTCTAATGTACCATTACTTTGCTGCTAGTGAGATTTACAACGCAATACGCGTCTTTATTGCTGCATATGTTTGGATGACTGGATTTGGAAACTTTTCCTATTACTACATTAGAAAGGATTTTAGCCTCGCCCGCTTTGCTCAGGTAAAATATAGTTCTGGGAAGTGTATTCTCGCAAATGTCCTTGGGAGTATTATGACAATGATCTGAAACGCTTGTATTTATGCACTATGCAGATGATGTGGCGGCTGAATTTTTTTGTGGCGTTTTGCTGTATTGTTCTTAACAATGACTATATGCTCTATTACATCTGTCCAATGCACACTCTGTATACTCTTATGGTGTATGGAGCCCTAGGCATCTGTAGCAAGTACAATGAGATCAGATCTGTTATGGCTTTGAAGATTCTTGGATGCTTTCTTGCAGTTATCTTGATTTGGGAAATACCCGGAGTGTTTGAATTAGTCTTTAGTCCATTATCATTCTTATTGGGTGAGTAACCCCATTCAGCTTTCTGGTTTTTTATTTATATTATGTTTTTCACTGTTGGAAGTTCAACTGAAAAGAAAAAAACACAGTTGACTTTCATCCTCTCAACATGGTTGTTCTTCTGATTCTCAGCAGACTTTTCGATAAAATTTTATTACACTGATCCTAGAGTCTTTATTTTGTGCTTTTCAATTTTCATTTTTGGGCAGGCTCATTACTCAAAAACTTTGGTCAATATTGTAAGAGAAAATAGTTTATAACCAATAAAAGATAGTCATCCTCTTGTGAGTTATTTGTATATATTGCATGAATCTTGAATAACTTTAAATGGTTAACCCGTTCAAATACTTTCATGTTAAGGGGCTTAAGGTTTTGGCCAAAAATAAAATCCAGCTTGTATATAGGTCTTGAAATGATTTGAGATTCTTATATAAAGAAGATGAAGAAAAGGTTGGTATGAGATTCTTGAATTGTTTCTGTGCATGAATTTCTTACTGTTCACCCATTGCTCAAACTTATCGTCTTTGTTTCCTACGATGCAGGGTATACTGATCCTGCTAAACCAGATCTCCATCGTCTGCATGAATGGCATTTTAGATCTGGACTTGATCGCTACATATGGATCATTGGAATGATATATGCCTATTATCATCCTAATGTAATCTCTTGATTATCTACATCTGGTTGCTTTTGCTTTCTTGATACTCCAAGTAGTGAAATTTTAAACGTAATATCTCTTAGGTGGAGAAATGGATGGAGAAATTGGAGGAATCTGATACCAAAAGGAGAGTCTCAATCAAAGCAGGAATATTTTCCAGTTCTATATTTGTAAGTTTCTTCCGTTATGATAGTTATCTGCTTATATATAGTGGCTAATGTTTTAATCCTTTAATATGATCTCATGCTCATTATATTTTTGCTGTTAGGTTGGTTATCTGTGGTATGAATATATTTACAAGCTGGACAAGGTTTCATACAACAAATTGCACCCCTACACATCATGGATTCCGATAACGTGCGTGTTATTTTGTTTCTTTTTCAAATTAAAATGAATTATTTTCTGGGAGTTTTATCAGATGGCACATACAATTTTCAGTCATTTTTTTTCATTCTGTTCATCATATTGAATTAGCATCTCCTCTGCTTATTGTGATTTCAGTGTATATATATGCTTGCGGAACTTTACTCAGCAGTTGCGGGGTGTCTCTTTGACTCTTTTTGCGTACGTATTCTTATCTGAAAGTCAAACACAGCAGTACCTTTTGTAGGGATAATAGTTGTTCAGTTGTAAGTGGTTTTTCGTGTTTATGAAAGGTTTTGCTGACTCATTTTGTGTGTACAATTTCACTTTGGTTATGCTAGGTGGCTTGGGAAGATTACTTTGGAGACGTATATTTCACAGTTCCACATCTGGTTGAGGTACGTGATACTTCTTGTTCTTTAACTATGACTAAACCGTACGTTTTTTTACCAGTGGAATGCAGCTGAGTCTTTACAAATGTTTTCTCTTTTCATAAGGAACTCATGAAAATTTTCCTTTACTCATGTACAGAACAAACACACCTAATGGACAGCCCAAGTGGCTTCTCTCTGTCATTCCAGAATATCCGTTGCTCAACTTCATGCTGACAACCGCCATCTATGTTTTGGTAAGAAAATCTTCAATCTTCATTTAGCCCTTAAAATTTTGCAAGCCAACAGTGCTTACAAATTCTTACCTTCTCCCTGCTGTTCTGTTGACTTGGTTCTGCAGGTATCTCATCGGATTTTTGAGTTAACCAATACGCTTAAGACAGTGTTTGTTCCCACCAAAGACAACCACAGGCTGCTTCATAATTTTCTCGCGGGGGCAGCCATTTTTACTTGTTTGTATTTTGTCTCATTCATTCTTTTTCAGATACCCCATTGACCTGTAAGAACCTTTCTGCTCTGTGCTCACTCTTTCTTATTTCTTAGACGCTGTGTAGAATTTCTGTGATTTAGATTTATTGAAAAGTTTCAAAACTTGCTGTCGTGTTCGTAGTTTCATAAATTAACAGGTTTTACTATTACAGGCTTAACCATTCAAGACCCAAAAGTGGGTTATACAGATGTTTCCTGTTGGATGTGCAAATATTCAAAGAATTTCAATAAGGATAATGGAAGACGTCGGTTGCGAATATAGCCTACAAAAGCTTGCAGTTCTAACATTTTTTTGTATCGAGGAGAAGGGCAAACTCTCCGTTGCTGCGTGAAAGCTTGGATGTGGATGTTAGATTTGCCTTTGGAAAGTTTGGCAGGAGGCCCGGAAGCAGGAAGCAACAATGGTGAGAAGAATTCTTTAGAAAATATATATAGCTGTTTGCTTTGTATCTTCTTTTTTCTTTTTCCCCACAGTTTTGTTAAATCCTTGAGGAAATTGTAGATCTCTGTGACATAGATGTGCTGTTTGTGATAAATCAAAGTTCAGAAGTTCATGAGCAATGCAATCTGAATCTGCTGTTTATTGTTAAAATGGTCCACTGTATCCAATACTTCCCTCGTTCTCGGAACGGCGGAAAGTCGTCCTTCCCCGCGGGGCATTATTTTATCAAACAAAATGTCATAATACAACCGTTTATTCTCTTTATCATGATCGAAATATTATTTTTTGAAAATTCATTTATTTTGAAGAACGTTTAGTCATTTTTTATGATCAAACAAAATCAATGGTTCATAATGAGAATGCCCTTTGACAATGTTTCAAAACTGTTGATTTGTTTGACACATTCAAACTGACAATGTTCCATATCGTCTTAGCAAGTTTGGATTGGAATTTTGTTTCGTAGGAATTCTCAAGAAACAAAGTGTTCCATATTTTTTAGTTCACACTTTACAGGTGACCGTATGAGCATCCGAGTAAAGATCCAAGTTATAACAAATTAGGATGCACATCAATTCAAAACCCACGAATTTCTTTAAAATGGGTTTTAAGTTCCTCATTACCCCAATATATTCGGAAATGATTTACACTTTTTTCTCACATCCACACCTTTACTATTTTTCACATTTAGGTTGAATATAGCAAAACATAATTAACGTATATATAAAAAAAAAAGGATTGTACAGTGCACATGTAGGAAAATAGTGCACATAAATAATTTTTCTTAACATTTTCAATTTGTCCATTATACTGTCACAAATGAATTTAAATATTCTCTGGATCTCTGTGTTTGAAGCCGACGGACTAGACAATCCTGACTATTCAAGGAAGAGAGAGAAAGAGATTCAGGCTATTAAGGAGTTTGTTTTTGTGTGAGGTGAGTCAATGTAATGAGCTAATGAGGACTGCTTGATTTAAATTGAGTGATTTGAATTCTCTTGGCCGCCAACTCCAAACACAAAGGTACGGAGAGGATCTGAATTCGTCACAAATCACTGGCAAGACTAGTTGTTTATCCTTGCGAGATGATTTTATTTTATTTTATTTTTTATCAACGAAGAATAGGGTTTCAAATTTGAGACCCCCTCTATTTTGGAGGAAAATAAATATCACTCCACCAACAACTAATTGATTTGAGAGTTGCAACAATCGAAAGCCAATATCCCACGTAATATAAATGCATGTCGTTATGGTTTCGCGTATGCAAATGCATATACAAGCAAATTGACGAGGTTCATATATCCTTTGCAATCTACTCTCTTTGATACCAGTCGACTTAAAATAAGTTGAATCATGCGTAAATCAAAGAAAGAGAAGGTCATTAGCTTACGTGATATTTGGGCCATCTTAACAAAGTAGTTATCAAAATAACTTGGGAAGTGTCAGTTGGAAAACCCCAACGAATCTACTTCTACTTCTGGATTGCATGCTTTTCGTACTTGCTTTTTCTTCATTGCCGTGCTACATGACACACACCCCACTCCACATTTACGTTAAATTACATGGCCAAGTTCTCATCTGATCAGCTCAAATAAGCTCTCTCTCTCTCTCTCTCATTTGAGAGAGTTTCTTCATCTCTGGCATGGGAGATCCTCAAGAAGTGCAACTCAACATTGTAGGTACGTACGTACGTACGGTCCTTTTTTTTTTATAACTTTTTTTCTTCTTGCTATTGCTCGGTCTGAAAAAACTTATTTTATCAGAGAGGAGAGAGGGTACAAATCAATGTATACGTGCATAGATGGTGAGTCTAATTCTACGCGAGCTTATTACTGATACGCATAATTCAATGAATTTACTGTTATTAGCTGTGAGAATTGGATTTGGTTTTTCTTATGATAAGGCTTAATATATAGCAAGTGCGAGAGGCCTTGATCATGAAGCAAATCCTGCCGAAGTGTTAATGCATTGAGTATAACAAGAAACAGACATTTGATCAAATACTGATCCTTGCATATCTTTTTCTTCTTTCTATTTATCAGTTAAGGATTCAAATGAAGCAAACTCTTCAGGGTGCACAGATGTTCACGAACAAGCACTGCTTCCCCGGCGTAGGAGCTTCAACTGGTGGCTTAGGATGGCCATTTGTACGGTCTTTGTCATCGCCGGCCAATCAGCTGCAACACTGTTGGCAAGACTATACTACGACAAAGGTGGCAAAAGCAAATGGCTGGGAGCCCTAGTACAACTTGCTGGCTTCCCTATCCTCCTTCCCTATTATTTCTTCCCAACAAAAACAACAAATCCAACCACAAACATTAGTACTAGTACTACTCCCGAATCAAAAGAACCCTCGACTTTAATCCTTGCATCAATTTATGTCTCTCTTGGCCTTCTAATAGCCTTGGGCAGCTTCTTGTACTCGGTTGGATTATCTTACCTTCCCGTCTCTACTTATTCCCTCATTTGTGCATCCCAATTGGCATTCAACGCGCTATTCTCCTTCTTCCTCAACTCGCAAAAGTTCACCCTTTATATTGTCAATGCCCTAGTCCTCCTCACCATCTCCTCAACCCTCCTCGTGCTCCATGGTGACTCAACAGACGATCCAAGTGGAGGATCAAAAGCAAAGTATGCAATCGGGTTCATATGTACCCTTGGCGCATCAGCTGAATACTCATTAACGCTTTCTCTATCGCAGCTCGTCTTCAGAAAAGTTTTAAGGAGGGAAACATTTAGAGTGGTCATGGATATGATAGTGTATCAATCTCTTGTTGCTACGTGCGCCATCTTGGTGGGACTTTTCGGTAGCGGAGAGTGGAAGGGTTTGAGGAACGAGATGGAGGGGTACGAATTAGGGAAGGTATCCTATGTCATGAACTTGATATGGTCAGCTATAATATGGCAACTCTTTGATGTTGGCATGGTGGGATTGGTTTTTGAGGCATCTTCTCTCTTCTCCAATGCCATTAATGTTGTCGGTTTGCCTGTTGTTCCAGTTGTAGCTGTGATTTTCTTCCATGACAAAATGGACGGGATTAAGGCAATGGCCTTGGTTTTGGCCATTTGGGGATTTGTTTCATACGTTTACCAGCACTACCTTGATGATCAAAAGTCCAAGATCGAGAACAAAAATGGAAATAGTTGAAGAGATTTTGCTCTTGCATATCAAGTGTAACATTGAAGAATTCAAGACCTAAAGAAATATAATGATACAGATGTTACTTAATGTTAGATTTGTACGTAAAATACGTGTCGTATATTGTTGTATGGTTGTAAAACCTGTCAAACTTACTTAAACTAACTCACTACCATCGCGAGGTCTATCGTATAATTATGATCTTTTGTGCTGGTAGCTAGTAGTTGATGAACTAGCAAGCCATGGACCCATGACTACAAATAATTGTACCCGTCTTAGTTGAAATTTTAACAATTATAGGATAAGGGCGTGATCACGACTTGTCACTGTGCATGATGTATATAATATGAAGACCAACAATTCTGAATCGAAAGTCAATTTGCACTAGTAAAAAGAAATTAAATTAATAAATATTGAGGAATAACTGAGTCACTTTGCAAGTTTTATAGAAATCCTTTGAGGAAATAATATAGGGAAACCATTTTTTTAGATTACTTTTGTAATTATGTGATGTGTCATCAATAAAAAATAAGCACGTAATCAAATATTGAAGTAATAATCAAATCATAAACAATCTTGCCATATAATTTATAAAATATAATTTGAATAGATCCTTTATGATTATCGTTTGAATTTTCTCCACTATAAACAACAAAAAAACTAAAACATTGCACTTGCTGGAAGCAAAGATCGGCAGATTTCTTTTGTGATATTTTCATCTGTTGCAATCATCAATATTTAACATATGATAGGAGCCCTAGAAGCTGTTTTGGAATTTAATGAATGATTTTTCTTGAGTTGGGAAAGGGAAGTTCAGAACATGACAATCTACTACCTCCAAGAGGCCAAATTTGGAGGGTTGATATTCTTATAGAGCTTTCATAAGGATATATATTTGATGATTCTTCGTTTCAAGTAAGTAAACACTCGTTAATACTGTAAATATACGAGATTGAAAATCTTATATCACCGCTCTCCCACGTATACTATATCATATAAAAGTTGCGGGACCCAAAAAATGAAGTGTAGATATCTAGTTTCTTCAATGACCTCAGGCGGCTGAAGATGAGTGGTCCAATTTGGTCCATCATTTTATTCATGAATGTGATGTTATTGTCTGTAACTTGCAGTTTTTTAGGATACAAAAATATCCAACAGGATCCGGATATTTTGGCGAGGATTTTAGGAATTTGTAAATCGTGTTTATTCATTTATATTGTGCGATCAGTTTTTATTAGGTATTGTTTGTATTTAATTTTTAATAAAAATATTTAAAATGATTTCTGACTGCACAATGTATGATGAACGGACATAATTTACGTATTCTCGAGATCCTCACGATCTGGATTCCAAAAATATAGAAAAGCAACAATGATACAAGACTAGAGTCCTAGCAACCTATTACAACATTCATTTGGAAATATATATTCCGAAACTGCATGCATGTCATTTACTTAATGTATACGTGAGTTGAAACAAGGCTTCTCTCTCTCTCCCCTCCCCCCCCCCCCCCCCCCAAAACAATTGTTTGCGAGTTTTTTCATATTTGACATGGAAGAAGCTCAAGAACTTCAACTCAGCATCGGGAGTAAGTCTACTTCTATTCTATGTGATCCTTTTTGAGTATATATATATTGATGAAATTGAGATTCCACCGTAAAATCAATTAGTAATATCTCAATACGTCTACGCATGTGTGGTAGATTTCCAAACCTACACTCTTATACCATGATGAAATTGGGATTCCATCATAAAACAAATTAGCAATATGAGAAGTAACCCAAGATCATATAAACACATAGCAAACTTTGTCCCTCACCGACCGACGTGGGACAACTCTCAACATATATGGCAACTGATAAAAAGTTTATCTAGTATGGACGGGGATTCCGGCCGCATATCTAGTTATTCATTCACCCTAGACTATGCTATGGACAAGTCAATCTAGAACTTTCCATTGATATATGTTAAGCGAAACAAATTATGGGAAGTGAATTATGTTATTATTGTAATTTATGAGAAAAAAAGTACAAATTGGGATTTTTTTGGGGGGAGAATTCTAAAAATCCCAACCCTGCTATTTTCATAAGTTTCAATACTGATCCTTGTAAATCTGTTGTTACAGAGGAAGCAAATGGAGAAAGTGAAGCAAACTTATCAGGGTCTACACATGTCTCCGACCGATCACTGCTACCGCAGCGCAAAAGTGTCAACTGGTGGATTAGAATCGCCATTTACTCGTTCCTTGTCATTGCCGGCCAGTCAGTTGCAACATTCTTGGGAAGACAGTACTACGACAAGGGCGCCAAAAGTAATTGGTTGGCAACGGTAGTACAAATTTGTGGCTTTCCAATCATGCTTCCCTACTATTGCATCCCAGCAAGCAGAAATAATCCAATCCCAAAAGATAGTCCTATCCCATCAAAATCACCGTCTACCAAAATTCTCGCATCAGTATATGTCTCTCTTGGCATCCTAATAGCCCTAGACTGCTACTTGTATTCCGTAGGACTATCTTACCTTCCTGTATCTACTTTTACCCTCATTTGTGCATCTCAATTGGCCTTCAATGCGTTTTTCTCCTTCTTCCTCAACGCGCAAAAGTTCACTTCTTACATTGTCAATTCTCTAGTTCTCCTCACCATCTCCTCCACCCTCCTCGTGTTCCAAGGTGAAGATGACTCTGGAGACGATGATCCAAGTGGAGGATCGAAGGCAAAGTATGTAATTGGGTTCATATGCACCTTAGGGACAGGGGACGTTTAGAGCGGTCTATGATATAATTATGATGTTTTGTGGTGGTAGCTAGTAGTTGATGAACTAGTAAGCCATGGACCCATGACCACAAACAATTGTAGCCATCTTAGTAGAAATTTCATCAATTATTGGATAAGGTTAGCTAGGCATGATAATGACTTGACATTATTCATGAAATTATGAATATCACAATGTTATTTATTTATTTATTATTATTCTTTTGGATAGAAAGTCAATTTGCAGGTATAAAATAAATAAATATTGTGAAATAATTGAGTCACTTTGCAAGTTTTATATAATTTTTTTTTTTTAAGTAGGAAGATTAATTCTTTTTTTTTTACCACATTTGTAAATTATTTGATACTTAAAAATAGAAAATAAGCACAACCATGAACAACCACGCTTACAAAATATAAATAATCTTCTGGACATTATTCTTTGTTGCATTAAGGCAAGACTATGATTACAGTTGAATTATCTCCGGTGCATATAATAAAAAATATTGCACTAACTGGAAGCAAAGATTGGCAGATTTCTTTTGTGATTTATTATTCACTGCAATAATCAAGATTTGACTTATAGTATGAACCCTAGAAGTCTACAAGCTGTTGTCTTGAAATTTAATGAGTGATTTTTCTTGAGTTGGAGAAGTGAAGCTCTGAACATGATCAACTACCAGTCCACTACCTAAAAGAGGCCAAATTTGGAGGTTGATATTCTTTTTTAGTGCTTTCGGAAGGAGGATATACATTTGATGATTCCTAGTGGGAAAAGTGAGGACAAGGATCCTCTTTGGATTCTTTTTGTGGAGATTTTTTGGATTCTTTATGTGGAGATTCAAAAATCAATTTATCATGTCTATTCATTGTATATCATGCGATCAGTTTTTGTTAAGTATTATTTATATTCAATTTTAAATTAAAAATTAAAATAATTTCTAACTGCACAATGTACGATAAACAAACATGATTAATTGATCATCTGAATCCCTACAAAGAGAATCCAAAGAGACCCTATTTCGAAAAGTGAAGCTCAGAACATGATCAACTACTAGTCTACTACCTAGAAGAGGCCAACTTTGGAGGTTGATATTCTCATAGTGCTTTCAGAAGGAGTAAATATATTTGATGATTCTTCGTTTCAAGTAAGTAAATACTACTATACTGTATATCTTTGAAACTGAAAACTTTAGGTGACCTTTATTTACCACGTATGGTATACTATACAAAGAGTGCTCATAATATACGCACGTGTTGCGGGGCCTAAATAGTGAAGTGTCAATATCTTGTTTCTTCAATGATATGGATTTGGATCCTCTCCTGAGCTCAAGGAGAGGATCATCCTGATCATGACACGTGAACTATAACTTTAATTGAACTCTCTGTTTGTAGCTGTTGAATAAAAATCTAACAATCCACATGTCTTGATTAGGATGATCCTCTCCTTAGGCTCAGGAGAGTATTCAAATCCCAATGGTATTAACCGCCTGAAAAGAGGTAGAGTCATGTATCAAACAAAGGCGAATGATCCAGTTTGGTCCGTCTAATTATTCATGAATGTGATGATACTGTCTGTAACTTGCAGTTTCTGAGGATACAAAAATATAAATAAGCAACAATAATACAAGCTAGCTATTATTACTTTCAATTGGAAATATCTATTCCGAAATTGCATGCATGTCATTTACTTAACTTATGTGAGTGACTTCTCTCTCTCTCGCTCTCTCTCTCTCTCTCTCTCTCTCTCTCTCCATTGTGAGTATTTTCATCTTTGACATGGGAGAAGCTCAAGAACTTCAACTCAGCATCGGGGGTAAGTCTACTTCTATTCAATATGATCTTTTCTGAGTATATAGAGCAACTGATATAAAGTTTATTCAGTATGCACGAGGATTCTTGGCCGCATATCTAGTTGTTAATTTACCTGGACAACGCTATGAGCCAGTTTATCTAGAACTTTCGAGTGATATGTCTTAAAAGAATCAAATTATGATAAGTGAGTTATATTCTTATTGTAATTTATGAGTCATAAAAATTACAAGTTGGGGTGGCTATGGGGGGAAGAGTTCTACAAAATCCCAACCTTGTTATTATCATGAGTTTCAATACTGATCCTTGTAAGTCTCTGTTCTTATAGTTAAGGAAGGAAATGGAGAAGGTGAAGCAAACTTATCAGGGCCTACACATGTCTCCGACCGATCACTGCTACCGCAGCGCAAAAGTGTCAACTGGTGGATTAGAATCGCCATTTACTCGTTCCTTGTCATTGCCGGCCAGTCAGTTGCAACATTCTTGGGAAGACAGTACTACGACAAGGGCGCCAAAAGTAATTGGTTGGCAACGGTAGTACAAATTTGTGGCTTTCCAATCATGCTTCCCTACTATTGCATCCCAGCAAGCAGAAATAATCCAATCCCAAAAGATAGTCCTATCCCATCAAAATCACCGTCTACCAAAATTCTCGCATCAGTATATGTCTCTCTTGGCATCCTAATAGCCCTAGACTGCTACTTGTATTCCGTAGGACTATCTTACCTTCCTGTATCTACTTTTACCCTCATTTGTGCATCTCAATTGGCCTTCAACGCGTTTTTCTCCTTCTTCCTCAACGCGCAAAAGTTCACTTCTTACATTGTCAATTCTCTAGTTCTCCTCACCATCTCCTCCACCCTCCTCGTGTTCCAAGGTGAAGACGACTCTGGAGACGATGATCCAAGTGGAGGATCGAAGGCAAAGTATGCAATTGGGTTCATATGCACCTTAGGGGCATCAGCCGGAGCCGGATTATTGCTTTCCCTAACTCAGCTTGCCTTCAGAAGGGTTATAAAACAGGGGACGTTTAGAGCAGTCATGGACCTGATAGTGTGTGAAAATACGGTCGCAACCTGTGTAACCGCGGTCGGACTTTTTGCTAGCGGAGAGTGGAAGCATTTGAAGGGTGAGATGGAGGGGTATAAATTAGGGAAGATATCCTATGTGATGAATGTGACATGGACAGCAATAACATGGCAGCTTTTTGCAGTTGGAACGGTAGGCTTGATTTTGGAAGCCTCTTCCCTCTTCTCCAATTCCATAAGTGCTTTGGGTTTGCCTGCTGTTCCGGTTCTAGCTGTGATCTTCTTCCACGAAAAAATGAGTGGAATTAAGGGAATAGCCATGGCTTTGGGTATTTGGGGATTTGTTTCCTACGCGTATCATCACTACATCGAAGATCGTAAGTCCAAGGCGGAGAATAGAAATTCCAGGAACGTTGAAGTTCCGAAAGCTTTAAATGATTGAAAAAAGAGGTCTGTTTGTAGCAAAGTTCTAAAAAACGCTAGGCGCTAGTCGGACGGCGGGCTAGCGCCTAGGCAACCTAGGCGAATTTAGGTAAATTTCTTGTAAATAAATGCATATTGACACTTACATGAAATTCATGGATAAGATAATAAAAGAATGATAAAATGCAAAAAGAGTATCCAACAAGTCTAAAATTTAAAAACACATTAAGCATATATGCCACATAACCATAGTGAGGAGTATTATAGGATGACACATGTACAATAGGATTTTTTTTTGTTTTTAATTTCAAAAAAAAAAAAAAAAAAACCACTTAACCCGCCTAGAGCCCAGCCCGCCTCGAGCCCAGCCGATTTTTCTAACCGATTTGTCAGAAAACGCCTTGGGTCACCACCGCCCACCGCCTGGGCCGTTTTTTAAAACAGTAGTTTGTAGATCATCTCTGGTTTTATATGCAAAAGAACAGATTTACAAGCTTTCCAATTGTCCTGATGAAAGGCAACAACCACACAACATAGGTAAGTCGATTTCTATATGTGCACAAAGATTTTATAGTTTTCATGTTTTTATATGGCTTCTCTGCATAAAATCGGAAACTCGTTCCGATGTATTAACCCTGTAGCAGTAGAATTACAGCACATATCTGCAATGGAGGAACATGAACGGCTATGTAATATCTCATACATTAAATGATAGATTGCATGTAACAGAAATTGGTAAACAGCACATTGTGTTCAAAAGAAACGAAGAAAAAACACCGAATAGTTGACAGATCGATTATATTCATATGCTACTAAAAGAAAATTTGTGATTTTACTGATGAACTAAATCATAGATGAAGCTACCTCCATGGTAATGCAAATATGTGTTTCATACCAGTTGAAGAAGCCGAAGAAGATAATACACTTGAGTTTAAGAAAATCTCCCAACAAGCAACAATTTCTCAGCCCAGAGATTTTACCCGGCGGGTGCGCATCACCATCTCTACGCTATTCATTGGATTGATTGTTGAGGTGTCATTCTTTATTCTCCAATGTCATAAGTGCTTCCGGCTTGCCTTTCATTCCAGTTCTAGCTGTAATATTCTTCAACGATAACATAAGGAGAAGGATAGAGAAATTAAAAGGTAAAGATACAAAGCCTAGTTTCGATAAACCAGAATGCAATCACTGTTAAATTATCTAGCATACAAGATTACAAGTTGAACCCAGTAATGCATAACTTTTGATCTCAGGTATGTCCTAAAAAGTACTATAAATTTCAACAATCTTTACACTTTCCTCATCAATGCAATGATATCAGTCTCTTCTTCAATTAGTAAGAAGCTAAAATGTTGGCAACTATGGTCGACAAAACAAAATAAACTGTAGAAGTTAAAACCTTGACAAACGCACATTACATTGTGAAAAGTTGGACGTTAGAGCACGCATAGCAGCAGCAGAATCGGATCAACTACATGAGACAACCAACATAGTGAGCTCGGGGATATTTCTTCTGTAGCTGAGGCCGCTGGACAAAGAATTGATCCGCTATCTGTAACTTGTAAAGAAGCAAGCCGCTCAGGGAGAGCCTCTGCACTCTTGCTATACTCTCAACATAAAACACAGATGACCATCGAATCCCCACAACCTGCACATATCGAAAAGGTCCCGAAATTCATAACAGAACAAAATGGCAAAAGACTTAACAAAGAAAAATGACAACAGATTCAAAAGGGTCAATCCAAACCTTGAATATGAATGCAATTACACAAAGTGGAACACAAGTCCCAGGCCCATTGCACAGAATCTGCAACACCAACAGCACTGATCATCGACAATTTAATCTCCAATGTCTCATATCAACTGAAACAAATTGTGAAAATGCGAAAATCCGAAAAGGCGAAAAGATTACCACTTGGGGTCGGATTCTGATCATTAGCCAGAGCCCATGAGCCAAAGCAGTCAAAGTGGTCAAAACAGAGGTGAAATAAGACTGACCCACTTCCCTACTACGGTAGATCTGCATGAACTGCGAGCTCGAACTCTCATCGGCGTTCTCTTCCAGCAGGCGAGCTTTCTGGAGGCTCATGTTATCAGTGGCGGCGGCGATGTAGAACCTAGGGGCAAATCTGTCTCTTTGAAGGACTGACAAGAGGTTGATCATCTCCGCCGTGTGGCCTCCAGAGCCCAAAACGATTAGGGTGCTGAGGGGTTGGGGAGCTGAGCCTTTTGAGCTGCTGGGCTTGTGGGGTTTGCCGGTTCGGTGCAATACGTAGAGCAGGCGAGTAACGATCAGCGTTGCGACGGCGATCAGAAGAGTGATTGCAACGGCACATCCCATGATTGGGGAATCGAAAGGCTTTTGCTTTCCGGTAAGGGTGAGGACTTTGGGCAGATGGAATCCCGTCAAAAATATAATTTTTTTTTCTACCTTCCATTTTTAAAGGGAAAATAGAAAAAGAAACAATTTTTTGCATCGTAATATACAAGAGCCCTGCTTCATATGCCACAAAAACCCAGAAAAGCAGCTCACAAATGTAGTTATATGAATGCAAGAGGACTCGGGCATCTTACTTGATAATATCAGACTCGTGTGCATGATCATGATGAACTCTTTAAGATAAAAAAAAATCACTCTTTTTCTTTATTTACAACTCAGGCCAGGAAACACTAAAACACAACCCCTAAATCCAACAGAATCAGATGTAAAACAAATTCGAATATAATTTTCTAAATTCAAATTAAAAAGAATCTATTTGTTTGGAGCAGATGAAATTGCAGTCCCCGTCCCCAGCCGAAATTTCTAATCGTTAAATTGGATTAGACTAAAGCCCAATTATATTAAATAACAAATTTGAAGCAGATTTTGAGATGCAATAGGTCAATAAGGTAGGAATCGTTTGAGACTAACCTTGATGGCGGGCGTCGGAGGAATCGTCAAATTACCGTCGGAAAGCTTGAAGCCGAACAAAGCTCCTAGCTTATAGGGAGATGCTGTTGATGTGAAATTCAACATGCAAAGGTTGAAGGAGAGGAATTTCAATTTGAAAGATCCGGAGCAAAGTGGCTTGCCTGCTTGGAAAAGAAGACAAGTAAAACAGGAAGCACACTGTGAACAGTGTTTCAGGGTGTGTTTTGTGGGGTCGGGCGCGTGCTTGCAGGTGGCGAGGTCCTGCGACGGCTGACCAGGCGGAGATTGGGCGGCGCAACGGCAGGAGAAAAAGATGGGTGATTGGTGGATTTGATCATCAGGAGTGTCAGTGTCTTTGCTGATCACAGCTTGTGGAAACGGTAACAATTTCCCAATCGTAATAATCAACACAAATTTTGTGCAAAAAAATAAAATATAAAAAAAGTGGTCAACTTAAATTTCATAAATTTGAGTTAAATCGTGAATAAAAGTTTGAATTATGATTATTGTTAATATATGGTGTATATAAAACCAATGTTCTAAAAGATGTAAGGCGCTAGGCGGACTAGGTGGATTTAAGTAAATCTATTGTATTTCGTGTAAATAAGTGTCTGTTTATACTTAAAATATATATATTTCATCATAAACTATAAAATATAATGATATATATATATTATGAAATATTGGAACATAATGAAAATATGGGGAGCAAACATGTAATGTGTGTTTATTTAAGTGTTCAATAAATCTCTTATAATTTATTGAAAACAATAAAATGCAAAAGGGAAGTTATTTATTTTTTATCTAAGTGAGTCGCAACCTAAACATGTGTCTAGGAGGGTTTGGGCAGACTAGACTGGTGCCTCAGCAGGTCTAGGCGTCATTTCTTAATTTTCAAACTTCTAGGCATTAATCGAGGAGGTGACCAGCTGCTTAGCGCAGTCTAGGCACTAGGCAAGAATTTTTATAACAATGTATAAAACTAGCCTCTTGTGAATTATAATTATTGTTAATATATAGTATGTATAAAACTAGCCTCTTGTCACCTTAACGCATGTGATAATTGAGTTTTTCAAATTTATTTTGTAATTTATTTGAAATATTGGTTTCATAGTTATTTTTAATTTCAAAGAAATAATGCCCACAATGTTGGAATCTTTTATTTTTCAGAATCTTTAAGTAATTTTTTTAAAGGGGCTTTTAGATCTAGGTCCAAAACACATAGATGGTTTTTAGGAGTGAGTCCAATTACCTAATTCTATGTATTTATTTTTTTAATGCTCATTTTATATTTTCTAAAAATATTAAAAATCAATTAAAATCTTCTAATATTATGAATTTTCAACCCCAAAAAATATAATTAATATCTTATAACAAAAATAATAATATATTGACATAAATCTATCTGCATATCATTATACCCTAACTCAAACAAATATATGAATGTATATCATACCTATAAGTAAGATATGAAACTTAACTAAAAGGTAGAAAAAAACATAATATATCTACAAGTAAGACACATGAATCTTACTTGATTATAAAAAAGAATCTGTCATATAGGTAGATAAATATAATTAACCTATGATATAGGTTGATTATAAAAATAAAAACTAAAATCTATAAATGGGGTTTAAAGCGGGATAAATAACAAGAAAGAACAAAATAAATAAATAATCAAAGAGATAATTAAGAAGAAATTTGATTTTTTATAATAAATCTTATCATTTAAGAGATAATTATTGATAATAAAATAATAAGATTTAAGAAATTGGACTTATTTTAATAAATTGGACTATTCCTACTATTGACTCAAAAAATTAGACCTATACCAAGTTTTCCCTTTTTTAAATTAATACTTTTATTTTTAACATTCTAATTAGAGAGAGACATTTTTTGTTAGATATAGAAAATTTTATTATTTTAAGGTGCTAACTTTATTTTTAGGAGATAAAAAAAAAAGTGCTAATTTTATATATGATTAGTCTCTTGTCACATGCCTACATGGTAATTGTTTTTTTTTTTCACTCTTTTATTGTTTTTTAATATTACTTATTTTATTAAAATATATTTTGAAAATAATGAATGTAACCAGCCACAATTTCACTATGTGCGTGGTTTTTTGTGATTTTTTTTTTTTTTAATTCTAATGGGAGGAAAGTAATTTGATTATTACTAAAGTTTGACCCATTTTGCCTTCTTTGTTTATACTAGAAAAAATGCCCGCGCGATGCTGCGAGACTTGAATACATCACCTTGAACTATATTGTACAATTAACAGGACGAAACATAACGTTTTGGTTCCCTAATAAATAGAAGAAATAGAAGTAACATATAGTTTACAGAAATGTTGCCCTTGTAGTCAAGGTGATAAAATATATATCCTCTAGGTTGGCTACATGTTGTAGTTGACAAAAAACATAAAAACTGATTTGTTCTTATTCTAGCATCTAAGTTTCCAAGCACGAATGTGCAAAAAACACGCAGTTATTGAAGCAAAAATGTTGATAGCCAAAAACATGTAGAATTGCCTGCAGTAGTCGATTACGGAGATTGCATTGTTCACTTTTTTTTAGAGTGGATATCTTCCGCACTACAGCAAAAAATATAAATCATAGTTTAAGAAACGTGACCATAATGTTTTTCATGTAGGCGTGCATATGAAAGAAATGAAAAAGAACAAAATCACCCATATATATAATACTTTAAGTTTAAATGCATCCCAATTGTGGGTTCCAACATCACAAAAAGAATGTCTTATACATAATTAACAGTACACCCGGCATCGGTTCATCCTTTTGTATTAATAGTTATTGTTTGCAGAAACCTCAATTACCTTACAATCTATCATCATTGACATATAGTTCATACAAAATGGGACATCATAACCTGTCTTTGGCCAACAACAGTTTTTCCAAAATGAAATCAACTATTACTGCATTAATTATGGGTCCATCTAGGCAATTCATTGAATTCACAGACCCGAAAATTTCCCCAATTCGCTGAATTTACATACAAATGGGACAAACAATAAAACATACCATAATTTTGATGATAATCATATTAATCATCCTTAATAGTATAAATAATTCAACAATGTGAAAAATATAGGTCATGTATAATAGAACAATCAAAGTTCTCTATTTTGATCAGAAAAATAATGGTCAAAATTTCAAAGAGATAGAGCCTTTTATAGTAAATTTTATATCCAGAAACTCAAAACCAAACATGTTCAATTAGCAAGAAATTCTCTACATGATACTCGAACCAAAACCGATGCATTTTAGTTATATGTATCATAAATAGAAACGATGGCATCCAAATTCCATTAGTTTAATATTTAGAAACACTTGGTCATTAAGTATATATACTTGCCAAAACTCATTCAGACACTATCAATTTATGAATTACACGTGCAGTCAAATTGATTATGCGTCCTTACCCTTTCCTTACCCCTACGCTTTAACCCTTGCATAAAATCCTCCCTTCTCTCGCTCACCTTTGTTCTATCTCTGTGTGTGTGTAAATTGGAAAAAACAAACCCTGAACTAAAACCCTCAAATCCCGACTAAATTCTTGCACAATTTGGTCGGAGATTCTTTATTTCTCTTTGCAATTCCTAAACCAAATGTTGTAAATTTTATTTGAAAGAGACCCATCTTTCTACAAATGGCACAAAGAAAATGGTTTCGAGAAATTATGCCAAAGGGGAGACTAATCAGATGATTATGCTTAGAACTATAATGTTGTTTCAATTTAAAAAAAAAGTGTTAACTGATTGAAAAACCAAACCATTTAAAGAACCAGTAGAGATCACAGTAACAACATTGTAATAAAAATAAGATCTAAAAAAGCATGTATTCAAAAGTAAATTAGTTCGATCACGCATAAAGCAAGGCAGTGACGGAACATTAGCAGCTAAGGTAATCCACCATATTAAGGCATCATACATATTATTATACTTTGTTTGTCAGCATGGGAACATGTGTCAGAAAAAGAAAAGGAAAAATATATAGGGTAAATTTAAAGGCTATTTGAAAAGTTTAATATGTTTGTCTGTGAAACTCAGTGATAAAACTTCACAGTCATGCTTTCCAAGAAGAAAAGAAAGCGAATAACTGAAACCACTGATAATTCGAAGCAACAGAGCAGATATTATTAAGATTGAAAACACATTCCAGAAAGCATGGGGAAACTGTAAAAGTAACAAAAACTGTGATGGTGGAATGGATTAAATCCATGAAAGTGCAACAAAGAAAGGGTAAATCTGAGAAGGGTTTAACTGACGACCAGTCTTTTATACTTGACAATGTTATGAATTATCAGCCGGATAAAGCTGTTAAAATGTGTTTTGGAATCGGTCGTCGCACAACATGTTTATTTACGATGTTCTTGTTTAACTGCAAACAACTGCGTTTTATTATTATGTTTCAGTTTAGGTTTGATGGCATGAATATTTGTTACATCACACTAACTTAAGACGTAACAATCACACATTGTACTGTTATTGCAGTCATATATATATTCAAATTCTACTGTTATCGCGGTCATATATATATATGAAAAGGACGCTATAATTAGATAGCTAAATCTAATCCTAATGTGAAAAAAAAAAAAAAATGTAAGAACTGTTATGAAACCAGTGTTAATTAATATACCTCAAAAGTCAAAGGGCCAAGTGCTCCAGCAATCGATCCAACTTTCTGAAAATCGGAAACAAAGAAAATCGATTAGCACTAACTCACAGAACAACAATGAAAATAATAGCTCAGAGACAGTAGCGAAATTCTATTAGCAGTAAACACACACTGTTGAAACAGGGATTGTAGCAAAGCTATACTAATTAGTAATATAATATAGGCATTAGCTGCAGGTTCTGCAAGTATTATCTGTAGAATTTAGCAGGTTAGTTATATACTTTATCTGAGATAGTAATGCAAATATCATACCGAAGAAACATTTATCATCCAGTATTTCTCATCTAAAATTTTCCGATCCAAAAAAGACAATAAGGAAAATTACGCAACTCCAGAGTACAAATGTTAAGCGTGCTACTTCAACCGAAATAACTTCTAGATACAATGAGAAACACATGCTCATTCTAGAAATGGAATCCAGGTAAAACCAAAATACATAAAAACTGCAATAGTTAAACTACAAGCTAAATTGATATAAGTGTCCAGAAGATAAACACACCAATTTTCAAACAAAGCAAAGAAATTGCAATTGTCTCATGAAAACTAACTAAAAGTTTATGTAATGTCGTTGTATTATTATCTAAGAGGCGAGATAGAACGTTAATACTGCATGACACAAAAGCAATGCAATATCAACATGTTTAGGTAACACCATCCTATTCATGCTTAACAACTGGAAATGCACAATCTAGTTTACAAAAGTAGGGGTTATAGTATGAAAACCAACTAAACAGACCATGAAAATAAGTAAAATGCGGTATTTGCCAAGGTGTCTAAACTTCTATATATATGTGTTTGTGATGTAAAACTAATTTCATCAGGGTTGTAGTTGAACTGAACTAACAAACTTGTGAGCTACTTAAATATTCACACACATTATACTCATAGACACTGCACTCACACACACTGATTATAAGAAATGAAAATGAAAAAACAAATGAAAGCTAACATATGTCTTGGCCAACATATTTATAAGATATGGATGCCAACCAGTAAATAGTTAGGAATTTACCTAAAGACTCTTTAGCCACAAAAATCCCATTAAAGAATCTCAACATGTTGCCAAAACATTAAAATAGTAATGCAGCTCAAAATTTTCCCCAAACCCTAAAACCCACAGAGCATATGCCCTACTCAACAAAGATAATTAAGAACAACAATTGCAGGATCAATAAGGACTCTGTGAACTGCAAGGATTAAGAGTGCATGAAAAACATTATTACTGGTAACTTAACAGAGAGAGAGAAGAACCTGCAATTAGGTTTTCTCAAAAGTGAAAATTGCAGAAAGCAACCAAGAGACACAAAAAATTTAGCCAAAGAATGTTAGCCACCAAAATCTCATTAAAGAATCTCAAAATTTTTTCTAAACATTAAAATACCAAAGCAGCTCAAAATTTTCTCCAAACCCTAAAAGCTAAAACCCACAGAACATAGCCTCTACTCAACAAAGATAACTTAAGAACAATTGCAGGATCAATAAGAACTCTGTGAACAGCAAGGATTAAGTGTGCAGGAAAAACTATAATCTAGATAAACAAAAGAAAATATGTATTAAAGAGCACCAAAAAGTCAAAAACTTTAAAGGCTGTCAAATAAATTTGTATTCAAGGGTTTGAACCCATCGATCTAAGTGCAAACATAAAAAGCACAGAACATAGAAAAATAAGTTGAGAGATAGTTTAGAACATTACAATTGAGGCTCCTCTCAGTAAATAATATATATATATATATATTTTTTTTTTTTAAAAGAACACTTGTATACCCTACCCTGTAAGAAACATGTTAAGCAAACACTCATCTTATCAATGGTTCAGAATCATAGTTTGACCACATATGCCAAACTATAAATCTAAACCATTGATAAGGTAAACTTTTGCGAGAATGTGTGGTCCATATGCACTGTCTGGCAACATAACCACCTATGTTGCCAGAATGTGTAGCAATATGGCATTACGCTACATATTCAAAAGTTGAGAAATCATGGGAGAAGGAACGACTCAGAACTTGGAAGTAAAATATGAAAATCACAACTCAAAACACAGATTAATAAATGTTATTTCAAATTTTCACAAACAACACAGCAGATAAGGAAGAGTAAAGAAAATTAGAGAGAAATTCAAACAGAGCAAGGAAAACTAACTATGCATACCATAATCACCAATAATATACCACAAAAGATATATACATTTGGTGACAATCATACATTTGATTCCTACCATATTTCATGTCTTGCATAAAAATTAGAAATTAAAAAAAAAAAAAAAACACACACAACACAGAAAAGGGTACCTAATACTTTCCGTGCAGCTGCTCTTCAAAAGGCAAAATGCTTTAGATCCTAAGGACCAAGCAAATATAAAAGCGATTCAACAATTATCAAAGAAAATCAACAATGCATGGAACAAAAATTAGAAATTAAACACCCATCAAAGGTTGTGAAGAATGCTAAATCCAACTAATTTGAAACATAAAGTAAGCCGAAAGTAATCAAACTTATAAATTCTATATAAATTATAATCCTTTGGAGAAAATCTCCAATATCCATTATCCAGTTAATTGTATTAAAAAACCTAGCAAATCTCCATTAAATTAAACACATTTTGCAGTAAAGTATCCATCTTTTCACAGTAAAGCAATACAAAGATCATGAGCAAGTAAATCTGGAACACTACCATCAAAATTCCAGCAATCAATAACCATAATTATAAATTTTGTCAAACTTAGTTGCTACAGCGTTTGACAATGATCAGGCAAAAACTGAATATTTCGTGGAGCCGCAAATGTTCTATCAGAAAAAATGAATAATCGAATTAGTTGAGTAAATTTACGGAACAAAAAGAGAAAAGGGGAATGGAGGAGATCAGCAGAATGAGACGAAATCAGATTCAGAGTTTGAGAGTCAATTGCTGAATTTAGATGAATTGACCTTTTTTATGACAGACAGTCAAACTGGAATGCACAGGAAGAAGCGGAAGAAGGAAAAGAGGATGGTTCTCAGATACATCAGCACTCCCTGCAAAACCCCAAAAGCAAAAGATTATAAAAAGAACCCAAAATCAGTGGCATGGTCCTCGTTTCTCCATTAATCAGTAGCTAATGACCTAACGAAAAAGAACCCAAAACAGACTGCTTAAATTATGGAAAGTGCTTATAAAGCTCATGAATAACTTTCAAAGCCTGCATAGAAATGGTATAACACAGATAACAACAGACAATAAAACTATGCACAGTATAAGCTAAATCCGATATATTACATTCCACACACACACACAGATACGTCGAAAACTCGAAATTATCATAGAGTAAAGACAACTATATTATACAATCAACTTTGAAGTGTTATCCATTGGTAAATTTTCAGTATTAATTCTATTGGATTATTCATAAGAAATGAAGAATCCAAAACTGCATCAATTCTTAGTTCAAAGTTCAAACCAGCAGCTACTGTCATCCATATGAAATCCAAAATTGCATGAATTATTTCATTTTCTGAGCAACCAAACAGGGGATAACACAAATTGCAAGGTAAGAAAGAAAGATGGAAACCTGGAGGGACCCAAAAGGAGCAATTAAATAGCAGTACATAATGACAGAATTTCAATGAAAAAATATGAATAGGTGGAGGGGGTCAAATTCAATCCATGAGTGAAAGGGTAAGCATATACCTGCTGCTAGGAAATCCAGATTCCAGTGGTTGATACTCTTTGTTTCTGAAAAAAAGTGTGTATGTTTGAGCTGCATGGATACATCACATAGAAAAAAATTAGAGGGAAAAAGAGTTTGTATTTAAACACAGTAAAGAGATTTGTATTAGAAATTACTTTGTATAAACAAAATTTAAAATGGATGGACAAATACCTCACTAATGGTTTGTTTGGTGGCTGCTGCGTGAATGGATGGTTTGATGTGTATGGTTGTGTTGGATCTACATGCATATCAAGAATCAAATCAAAAGTGTATCTCAGAAATATAAAAGAAGCAAGAAACGGAAAAACAACCTCGCAACATATGGATATTAGAATGATGTGAAGTGGAAAAGGAAGCTGAAGTTGATTTGTTGATTAGCAAATAGTAGGAAAGTATGAAAAAACACATAAATGAGCACAGTGCAACCCCTTTGGTTATAAATACAGAAATATCAACCTAACAGTGAACTAAACAGGCTAGACACCCTAATTTAAAAAAAAATAAACTTAAAAAGGAGGCTTAATTTTGTTCACTCATAAAGCAAAGGGAAAAAATTCTGAAAAACACAAATATAAATAGTGTAGCCTCCTAATTAAGAAAGACTAAGAGTAAAGTCTAATAGTTAAGCAAACAAATTTTGAAATATCTATGACAGCTTTAATAAAGGAAAGGGAATGGTAAATCAAACAGTGAACAGATAATTTCAAACAAAAAACTGTATAAATTTACGTTTTTTCTACTTAATTTTTTAATTTTTCGGTTAACCATTAATCTTGCTATAAATTTAGGTGTTTTCTGTTTGTGTTGGTCCAGCTGCTTATACTTGTCAAATGTTGGTTCATCTTATGCAAATATTGATATATTTAACAGTTTACTGCCTATGGGTAGTGGAGCATCACAAATTAATCTACATTATGGTTATTAGAACAATGGATTAGGTTGTAGGATAAGTTTTAACATCCAGCTAACCCTAGAGCTGAACTAAACAACCTACAAAAGACTAAGAGGAAACCCTAATAGTTAACTAAACAATATAAAATATCTATGACAGCATTAATGAAGGAAAAAATATCTATGACAATTTTAATAAATGGAATGGCAAATCAAACATTGAACAACAATTAAAAAATAATAAACTGAAATAAAGTGAATCTAAGGTGACCTAAACAATCTACAAAGATCTATGACAATTGTAATGAAGGAACATAAAATCTGTAACAATTTTTAAACAGAAAAATGATGAATTATGCACAAATTGATGGAGAAACAGAGAAATTATATCAGTGCAAAGGCCTAATTTACAAAAACAGAGACTTAATCCTAGCACCCAACCGAACAAATTATTAACATGCATTGCAATTTGAATGAAAGAACCAAATATGAATGGCAATTTTAACAAAGCAAATGGCAAATCAGAAACAAAATAATTAATCTAAAAGAGTTCATGACCTTTTGAATGAAGGGAGAAAGGTGAAAACGCAGACCCTGCCATTCCTCCCTCACCCATCCCCTCCTCACCGACTCTGTGCGTAAGCCCTTGACCCTAACGAATGCACATACGCATGCTTTTCGTTATGTATCTCTCTCCCTGTTCATCCTTCTCTAAAATCGCAGAAAATCTCATGGATCCTGGCAGAAGACCTAGCTAAATCTCTCTGTCACTCAGTGGAAACCCGTAGCTCCCATATCTATCCAATCTGTCAGTCTCTCTGTCCCTATCCTCTCCACTCCCTCTGTCCCCTTCCTCTCCTCTCCGCACAGCGAGACCCAGCTGTCTCCGAGTGAAAATGGGGAGCCATCGTCTCTCTCCAATTTGTCAGCCGGTCTGTCCCCCTCCCCTCTCTGTCCCCGAGTCAAACCTTGAGATGCAGAGGGTGGAAATCGGGTTTTAAGGCTGGGTGGTATTTTTGTAAATATTGAGAAAGTTGGGTAAAAGCAGCCGAGTGGCAATTTTGAAAATAAACTGAAATGTGGTCCAAATCACTATTCATATGAATAGTGCCAATTTCCCTCCTACTTTAGACTAAAGTAATATGACAAAAAAAATTAAATTTAGGCTCTGAAATCTCATATTAATTTATTTAACTTTCAAACATACAATGTGTTGCACTATTATTATTTTTACTAATGTCGTTTTTTTTTCTTTCTATTAAATTTAAGGATCTATTAAGAATTTCATCGATTAGAAACAAATTTCTAAAGGGAATTGTTATTAACACTCTAAAAATCTCATTTGGTACTCCAAACTTTCTATAATTAGAAAAAAAAATACATTTATAAAGAATGTAGAATAAAATTTTTAAAATGCTAATAACAATTCCTCCTTCCAAATTATTCACTTTCAATTATCCAACTTCCAAATTTCATGGTAGGTTTTTATCATAAGAATTTTTTGTGGAAGGGCCCACCTGATATGGACCTTGGCCCACACCCCCATCACCGTTCGATTTAGATAAGGTGACTCACTCACCTCGGTTTCCATCTACACTCTACACCTCACCCTCCTAAATGAAAATCCTTTCCGAATTCTTTTTTGAAAATCTCAGAAATCTTTAAATCGTGTTTCATTGTATATTATGCAGATAAAAATTATTTTAAATATTTTTATTTAAAATTAAATATAAATAACACTTGTCAAAATTGATCATATAATATACGATAAATGAAATCCTTACAAAGAGAATCCAACGCTTACTAATCCAATTTTTATTTTTATTAATTCCAACAGAATGATTAATAAAAAATGGAAAAATAAAAAAGTTAGAATATTCGATTACTTTCCTTGGACGGGAGACTTCCTCTGCTAATACTCGCCCCCGAGTCGTACGATAAAACGACTGTTAGTCGTTGTGCCAAGAAACCACTTCTTCTTCTCCCTCTCCGCCGAAAGAGGAGCGAGAAAGCTTGTGATCATCAATGGCGGTCAGACTAACGACCTGGTTCGTCACCCAGGGGCTCAGCATTACCGGCTCCAACTCCACCTCCCGCCACCGCTCATATTCAAACGCTCGCTTTTCGTTTCACTGCTCTCCTGCTTCTTCCTGCAAGCTCCGGCACCGTAATCTCAGGTACCTTCCCCCTCTTCACTCTCTCTCTCTCTCTCTTCTCTCTGAAATCGTTTATCGATCAAATTCTCAAACTTCAATCTGCTTGATCGAGTGATTGATGATAATTTTGATTCAATTTCGACTTTTGAAGTTGCAATTGCGTGAATAAGAGGCAGAGACTGAGGAAGAAAGGCTCGGTCGAACAGCCTTCGACGAGTACAGATTTCCGGTTCAATGGCGACGACGACTCCGAATCTGACGGTGCTTCTTCGGCGGGCGTCATCGTCCCCATTGAAAGCGTATCTGATGACGAAGCTCCCACTGCCAATGGAAACGATTCGATTTCGACAACTTTAACTCCGTCTGATCAAGCAAATCCTTCGGTAACTCTTCATCTTTGCTTATCAAAACTCAAGAGTCAGTGTTAATTGTTAAATGATTGTTATGAGTTTGATTGCTTGTTCGCTTTACAGGCGTATAATACTCAGGATTTGGTTGGCATGATTAGAAATGCAGAGAAAAGTAGGTTATTACTCTGCCTTGTTCATTTGGCTTCAATTATATTTATGGTCCGTTTGGGACTGCTTTTGTAAGAAGCACTTTCGCGCATAAGCACTTCTAGCATCTTTATTTGAAAACTTAAAATTTTCTATCAGAAATTCTAGTGCTTTTTGGAAAGCACTTAAGAAACCACTTTTATGATAAGAAAGCACTTGACTTATGCGTAAGTGTTTTTTTTTTTTTTTTTAATTTTTATTTTGAGAGAGAAATGTACAAGTGTTTCTAAGTTTTCTTTCAAACATGGTCAAAAGTGCTTTTAGCATCCTATAAGCAGTCCCAAACAGGCCTTACTGTTTATTCCTCATTTATTAGAATTGTGAAACATGTATATCTCTTTTGTGGCCTTAGATATCCATCTTCTCAACCGGGCGCGGGTTAATGCGCTTGAAAACCTTGACAAGATTCTCGGTGAGAAGGAGGCATTGCAAGGACAGATGAATGCTTTGGAGATGAGATTGGCAGAGACCGATGCGCGGATTAGAGTAGCTGCCCAGGAAAAAATAAAGGTGGAACTTTTGGAAAACCAGTTAGATAAGATGCAGAATGAACTGAATCTCAATGGTGACGGTGGTGTTGAAAGAGGTCAGGTGGAGATTTTTGAGAATGAAGACCAGCTGTTTAATGAAGAAGCTCCTCTACCATACAGAACTAGCATCAATGCTCTTGTTGCCAATCTGAATGCATTGAGATTGGAAAATCAATCCCTCAAGAATGATGTAGAAGCACTCAGGGAGGAGCTTAGCTTTGTGAAGAATACGGATGAACGGGTGGTAATGCTGGAAAATCAACGGTCGACTTTAGAGTCTGCGTTGAAAGAGTTGGAATCGAAATTGTCAGTTTCTCAGGAAGATGTATCCAAACTATCCAATCTTAAAGTTGAATGCAAAGGATTATGGGAGAAGGTGGAGAATTTGCAGCTACTGCTAGATAAGTCAACCAAACAGGCAGATCAAGCTATTGTAGTTTTACAGCAGAACCAAGAGATTCAAAAGAAAGTTGATAAATTAGAAGAATCTATTGAAACAGCTAATGTCTATAGAGAGTCATCAGAAAATATGCAACGATACAATGAGCTGATGCAAAAGAAAATAAAACTTATGGAGGACCGGCTTCAAAGATCTGACGAAGAGATACATTCTTATGTTCAATTATATCAAGAATCTGTGGAGGAATTTCAAGATACACTAAATACTCTGAAAGAAGAAAGCAAGAGAAGGGCAGTTGATGAACCTGTGGATGATATGCCATGGGAATTTTGGAGTCGTTTATTGCTTATGATCGATGGTTGGTTGTTTGAGAACAAAATATCAATTGATGACGCCCAGGTGTTGAGAGAAATGGTTTGGAAGAGAGAGAGACGAATTCGTGACTCATACATGGTCTGCAAGGAAAAGAACGAGCATGATGCTGTGTCTACATTTCTCAAACTGATATCATCACGAACAAGGTATGAACTTTCTAGTATTAGAAGAATGCAGGATTGCATGTCGTTCATATTGCTAGTTTGTTGATTTTTGTATTTAAGCTTCTATATAATCTGCGAGTTTGTTGATTTTTTAGTCCAGGATTGCATGTCATTCATATTGCAGCAGAGATGGCACCGGTTGCTAAGGTGAGTTCAGCTTGCCTCTATAAATTTTTATCTTTTTTTGCTTTATTCTATTAAGATAATTGAGCGGGGTTTCTTACTTGTCAAGCTACAATTACTTTTATTACAGTAGTTCAGATTCAGGAATTTGTTAAACACTGTTTAATATTCATGTCTAAATGTATAGGGACATCTCAAAGATCTTCCGTATTGTTTTGATAAACATACCATCAACATAACTAGTTAATTTTACAGGTTGGTGGTTTGGGGGATGTTGTGGCTGGTCTTGGTAAAGCACTGCAGAAGAAGGGACACCTTGTGGAAATTGTTCTTCCCAAATATGACTGCATGCAGTACGATCGTGTTCCTGACCTAAGGGTATGCTGAATAGTTAATTAATTTTAGAAAAGAAGTATTTTCTACTCGAGTTTCATTACACTTTAACATGCAGGCCCTAGATCTGGTGTTAGAGTCATACTTTGACGGTCGACTATTCAAAAATAAAGTCTGGGTGGGCACTGTTGAAGGTTTGTTCATTGAAAGTTTTGTTTGCATGACATACTATTGTCTTGGATTTTCACTGTAGTCTTGGATGCTCACTCTGGTGTTGATTATGCAGGTCTTCCTGTTTATTTTATTGAGCCTCTGCATCCTGATAAGTTTTTCTGGAGAGGACAGTTTTATGGGGAACATGATGATTTCAAGAGATTTTCCTTTTTCAGTCGTGCAGCCCTTGAGTTGCTTCTTCAATCTGGCAAGCAACCAGACATAATTCACTGCCATGATTGGCAGACAGCTTTTGTTGTATGGACCATTAAACCTTCATTTTCCTTTACCATGCTCTCTCTCTCTCTCTCTCTCGACTAACTTGTTGCTGTTCTTAGGCTCCACTTTACTGGGACCTATATGCTCCAAAGGGATTGAACTCAGCTAGAATATGTTTTACATGCCACAACTTTGAATACCAAGGGACTGCACCTGCTTCTGAATTGGCATCTTGTGGTCTTGATGTCCACCAGCTAAATAGACCAGATAGAATGCAGGACAACTCAGCACATGATAGGATCAATGCTGTTAAGGTATAGCAATTGCTGATTCATTTATTACCAGCATTCCGGGAATTGGCAAAAGCTTTCCTGATTCCATTATCATTTTTGTGCTTTTCTCTTTAAGGGTGCAGTTGTATTCTCTAATATCGTGACAACAGTATCTCCCACCTATGCGCAAGAGGTGCTGACTGCTGAGGTATGGCTTTTGCTCATAGTCATACTAACAATTGCCTATAGATATCAGATTCAAATTCAAATTTCTTGCCCCGTCCCAGCCTATAGGCATTGTTTCCTTTTAACATTTGATTTTGGAGAATCTAACTATTTTCACCAAATGTAAGTTTCCGTCATAAATTGTGTAAATCTGTCTCTCTTGTATACATAGTAATCCAGATTCCACACACGTTAGAAATATCAACATCTAAGTATATGATTTTGT